ATATCTTATCTCTTCCTGTTCTGCTGGGAACAGTTTCACTAGACAGAAAGTAAGGGAAAATCTTCAACAGGCACACAGCCTTTTTATACTCTATGAAAGAAAAGCAGTTTTATTTATGTCTTGGTCACTGTTGGAGAGTTTCCTTTACTTCCCATTTGGCTGAAACCTCTTTCTTCCATCGACATTTGTCATATCCTGGCAACAGTGGATGGTTTTACACACTTCCGGCTGCTGTAGTATACATGTAAACATTACAAGTCAACTGTCGGCTTTAAGGTGGATATGATCTGGCAGACGTGCAACTGCCTGATCGTTTCCACAGGCCCCCCAAACAGGCTCCGCCCCAAACACCATGTTTCCAGGCTCTGCTAGCCTACCTTTGGGCATGGAACACACATGGCTGGTGTTGCTGGGTGGAGGGAGAGAGACTAGTGAACGTCCATTCAATAATCCCCCCTAGCAAATAGCAGCGGGAACCTGGAAGCAACAAGGATTTTGTCATTTACAAGCTTTGCTGTCATTATTCATGGCTGGTGTGGTCTGTCTGCGCTCCATTAGTTTCAGTCAAGTGCAAAGGAAACATCTAACAGACCCCAAGGTCTTATTAAAGAGAATTTATCACTGTATATAAGCTATCATATAGGGGGGTATTGGTCTCTTATGTGATAGTAACACAGTTAACAAAAAAAAAGTATAAAAATATAAAGCTAAGCACTCCCCCCCCAAAAAAACACAATTTTGAGCCCCCCTATGCACACACACATACATAAATGCATATTTATGGGTCAACTACGCACAGAAACTGTCAATCAAACTACATTTTACATCAAATGACAGAGTGTATATGGTGAAACGTTGAAGAAAAAAAAAAACAACTAAACTGATGACCTGTAAATGCCTTTAAAGCGTTTCCTAGGTCAAAACTGAGGAACCATATTTTTTTCCGCTTTAAATATTGGGTATATATTTACTCAGCACAATCATCTTTTATGTTTTACCAAAAAATTGGGTAATTGCATTTGTGTGCACTACGATTGAGTAGTGTATATTTTTACTGAAAATCCGAGCTTGATAAATCACTTCACTAATATTGTGTGACATAAAAAATTGGAACAACTACAACAATTTTATTCCCCGGGGTTTCTGCTTTCTGAAAATGTATACTCTTTGGGTACGGAGGGGGAGGGTTAACCAGTTTGCAGGCCTAAAATGTACATTTTAACATGTGTGCAGAAAACAGAAAAACTGCTATGGCGTAAGAAAAGGTTGTCAGCAGGAAAAGAAATGAGGGTAACTCTGCGCCAAAGGCCTGGATCACAGTAATAACCCGACAGGAGTTGTAACCCTTCCGTGCTCTACATAAGAAAAAACATTTTGGCTGGACATACACTTTAAGTATTATAACTTACTAACTAAAATACCTATACACAGTAACCCCTTTGCCTGCAAAGGATCCCTAACAGATTTGAGATGATCTCTGTACCTCATGCTGCTTTCACTGGAAGTGCTGGAGTATTAGTAATAACGCATAAGGAATCAAGTCGCTGTTTTCTTTTGCACTGGCCTGGGAGACAAAGTTTAGCTAAGCTCCCATTGGACTACTCTAGGATACACTGCCAGCTCAACTTTTTGTGCAGGTACAGTTTATGAATTAGCGCTCTCTATTTAATAAGGCCAGTATATGTGCTTCTGGCTGGAAAGATCAGTTAGTAATAATCATTTCTAAAAAAGGGACTGACATACAGTAGCCAAGTCCAATGATAATGAAGTCTACTGCAGTGAATCCTTATGGTCATGATATATAAATCAATGAGGAAGATTCAGTCATTTCATTTTTATTCCTGACCATAAGTCTTTTTCACTTATTTAAAAACCATCATATCAGCATAATAATTAACTAATCTAACATCCAGTTGACTCTACCCAGTAATAAAATGAATACTGTCATGCTAGGTATATGAAATAAAAAAAATTGTTTTTCCTGATCTAAATATACAATGATAATTGTATCATGATGGCACTAATTATTGCCATATTTACTGCTGACCCTTGTTAATGTGCGCAAAGTATCGTAACTGTAAATGCGGGAGAGTTTTATGTACAGTGCAATATGCCATTTTCAAAAGTACTAAACTGATTAGCTACTGTAAAATGGCAATTAAATAGTATAAAAGACAATATGCTCAATTTACAAAGCTTCAACACAAGGATAAGGATCTATACTTTGCCATGTGACTGCTTTTAACTAAGCTGAAAATAACTGTCACATTTTAAAATATAAAGATCCTTATCCTGTTGTGTTAGCTTTGTGAATTCAGCATATTGTATTTTTTAGAAGTTGATTTCTTTTAGAGCGTAAATGAGAAGATGTGTTTCCTGCAGTGCATTGGACCACTTTGTTAATCTACTCTGCTGTCTTATTTTACCATTCTGCTTATACTGATTTTCATATCTGGACATAACTTCACCTGTTGAAAACGCACACTTCTCAGTATTCCTAAATGAAATGATAAATTATACATTGTAAATTAGTGAGGTCCTGAAGAGACTCTGGAAACAAATGTAGTCATGTATGCAATACCATTTGAGACAGTCAAGGAAAGCCCAGTACCCTATATTAGGACTTAAAATTGCCATTCTATAGATTGTACTTGGGAGGCATTACAGGAAATATAATGTTAGGTAATTAATATTATTAGCCTGAGCTACCACTATTGCATTTTCGCCCAGTCAGGTTGGTTTCTGATTGGCACATGGATTCATATGGGAAAAAAAAGAAGAAAGAACATTTTGAATGGGTCCACAGGAATGCAGGTGATGATCAGAGTTTTGTTTCTTGGACTTCCTCCTCTGTCTCCTCCTGCAAGGCAGTGATTTTGGGCCGGGACTTCCTCTTGCTGGAGTTTCTACGGTGCAGTGGAAATAGTTTCAAGCGGTCAGAATGACTCATAGCCTGCTTGAAGAAACTCTTTTCATTCATCAGTTTCTGAATAGAGTCATACTGTCGAACAGTATTCTCTTCTATTACCTAAACAGAGAATCAAATATGTCAAATACAAAATGATAACTAAAGCTAAATTATATACATGATGACAAACACTGGGAAATCATGCAAAAAATAACGGGTGTGCTGCATTAAAAGGGGAATTTAACTTTTGAATAGGGTATAGAACGGTTAAATGATACATTCACCTTTGGAACATGTTACATGTTCCACCCACTTTAAGGGTGGAACATGTTCCCATAGGCGCAGCCACTTCCGCTGCCCCCCTCCCTCTGACAGATAATACAGGGAGAAGTTTCCCCATACTAGTTGTCAAATTTGAAAGCAGCGTAGCCATGCAGGACTCACCCACACAGCCGCGTCATTCATTCACGGACTTCCATGAATGAATGAACTGCAAGTGCCAACAGCCTTAGCAGCTGTGGGTTTGTTGTTTTCAGTGAACTACCACGGTGCTGTGGAGCGCCGTGGTAGTTCATTGAAGCTTCCTGTCAGAATATCTGCTTGACGTACGGGATGTACAAGCAAGCAGATATTCTGACAGGTCTGCAGGAGACCTGCATGGCTCTAGCGATCTACTGATTGCTGGTGCAATGCTTTCCAGGCTTCTTTGGACAAAAATAATAAATGCACATTTTTTTACCTGCAAAAAAATGTGCATTTATTATTTTTGTCCAAAAGGTGAACTTATCCTTTAAAGCTGCTGTATTTTTTTTCAAACAATAGGCACCTGGGATATATTGCTGCTGGGTTGTAAAAAGGCCATTGGTCAGCCAGGTATAATCCCTTTTACCCCCATGATGCTTCAATTTTTTTCCTCTACTAAGCTAAGCCCTTTTAGGAGGTATCCAAATTTGCTAATCCTCAGTGATGCCTCAGAGGCTTTAATCAGGCCAAAGATTGCGGACTTGCTTGCAATGTGACCCTCAGGCCCTGAGTTCTGCTTGCAGTGCTCCCTGGAAACCTAATGCACTGGTTTGTTAGCTGCAGAACATTTTACAGGTCTGTGGCTGTGGCTCAGCCTCAGGTGTGACTCTGTCCCTGACGGCATCCTTGAGAGCATGACCATGGACTGGATGAACAATTCCAGGACTGCAGCATTAATCATTGGGTTCTACATATGATGCTTTCTGGTGCTTTAGTACTGTGCTTTTTCACTGCAGAGCTCTTTCCAGGTCTTCAGTTATGGAAAGTAATTTACATTTAGCCCTACATGAACATGGCACACTATGCATTTCTCCAGCTATCTTTTTTTTTCTAAAACTCTCTGGAGAGTTTCCCCTGACTGGTGAAATATTGTCAGCAGGACAAAAAGTTAAGAGAAATTTCTAATGAAGGCTTGGATAGCAGTAAAAAAATCGAGTTGGAGTTCTAATACTTCCCACTCCATCCAAAAAATAAATAGATAAAAGTTTAACATACACTTTAAGTTACTTGTAGACAGGATAATCTTGAGCCATGTCCTTCTTAGACCATAAGAGAATACACACTATTTTAACAGTAATAAAGGTAAGTAAAAACAGGCTGTCAGATCATGCCTACACATCTGACTGCGATATATTGACTATAGCTTGCTTTTCTGCTTGGTTGCTTTTGAAGATAATTGCCTCCCGGGATGTCATCATTCTCCTTTTTTCACTACTTGGTAATTCACTGACCTAGAACAAGTGTACACCTGATATGCATGAGTATCTTCAAAAGCAAGTCAGCAATGACAGCTTCCATTTTTCTAAAAGAGCCCATTAAGTTGTCTAGAAGAGAGTGTTTGTGGATGTAAGAGCCTCCAGAGTGAACAGAATTGTCAGAAAAAAAGATGTTCAATCCAATATTTGCATCAAACTGGTTAGACACCAGGATCCTAGTGCATGCTGGGAAAGGAAACCTTAACAAAACCAGTCTTTCTGAAAATGTTTAGCTTTCTGACACAACTTACCAGGAAGAAATGACATTCCAGCATAGCTTCTAGCCTATGCTCCGATAGGATGACAGTACAGTTTGCAAATGAATGCTTCAGAGTTTTCCTAATGATCTGAAACGTTCTGAAATGATAAATTAAAAAATCCCCATAAATTAAATGGCTTTTACATTATCCAAAATGTAAGTAAGGACACTATATTTGGAAACATACATGGGATCCAGGTGAGCACTGGGTTCATCCAGCAGGAGAATTTTTGCTTTGCTAAGAACTGATCTGGCCAGGCATACGAGCTGCTTGTGGCCATGACTAAGAACACATCCACCATCAAGAAGGACGAAATCCAACTGACCTGGAAACTGTTCAATGATTGATTTCAAACCAACCTGCAAAAAAATGTAAAGCACATTAAAAAAAACGATACACTGTTTGTCGCTATTTGATCTAGACTGGTATACAGAACACAAGATTAGGGCCATGTTTGTACTAGTGAAATCCCTTTTTCATTCAATCTTTCTAAATTCAAAGGGAGAAAGCAAGGGCATTGACTTGCTAAATGTAAATAGGCTGTTTACTTTACAAGGGATTTTCCCAGAGCTTAGTGCATGTGGTGAACAGGGGCGGACTGACCATTTGGAAACTCGGGCACTGCCCGAGGTCAGTAGGGGGCCCCATGAGATGCCCCTGGTACCTTTTTCATAGGCTTTTTTGAGTTTGGGCAAGGACACAGGGGCCCCATGATCCCCTACTGCCCGGGGGCCCCATGAGTTGTCAGTCCGCCCCTGGTGGTGAAGTTTCACTTTGCAAAGAATACCTATTCATGTGCAAGGAAAATAGAAAAAACAGCATTTTTGCTTGCATGTGATCAGATGATAGAGGTCAGCAGAGTTTCACTTTATTCACTATGCTCAGGGGAAAACTCCCTTGGAAAGTACAACTTCCCTTGCAAAATGAATAGCCTGTTCACCTTTAGTAAATCAACCCCACTGTGTATAAAACTTTGTGTGGGAACACTAGAGGAAAGGAAATCAGAGGTTTTACCATTCAGATTTCTCTTGACCTCCTGTATCACTTACATTCTAGAAAGGTTATCTCTTATACCTCCTGCATAACTCCCTTTAACTATTAGAGATTGTATGCTCTTCCGTCTTCTATATTTCACTGACAAAATAATACAGCCTTCTCATAATATCCACTACCAGTTCCCCTCATGTACAAGCGCCCCTTTTATTTAGCCATTTTATACTGAGACACTGCAAAATCAACCCTGAAATGACATGCTTTAACCAGTAACGCTGACATTACAAAAATATGTGGCTGGGCCTTGATGCTGAGGGGCCTCATATTTGCGTACCAAAAGTAAACAAACATGTGCCAAGAACACACGCCACACGTGCTCCCGCCACATTTACCGGTGCCTCCTGGAAAGGTCCTGATCACTAGTTGTGATCAGGACCTTTCCAATCATGTGACCACTGTGACAGCCAATTACGGCGGTCACATGACCCTAAATCCCGCCCCACCTCCTGGCATCACAAATCCCTTATAAGGCTGGGAGGCACCACCACCAAGGGGTTAATATTCAGACACCACCAGCCCCCTCATATTTAGGGACCATTAAAGCTTTACTAAACCCAGGACCCTGCATTATTATTATTATTATTACATCGAGTTTATACAGCGCCAAAGGGTTTGCTCACCGCTGTACAATAGAGGGGGGGACAATACATGAAACAGTACAACAACAACAAACAGCACACGAGGGGTTAGAGGGCCCTACTCTTTCAAGCTTACAATCTAGGAGGCATTCACTATATCTGGTCTCCCACAGTACACAGAATATGGAAATGCTAATATTTTAGTAAATATAAACTGCTAAATACTTCTTCTCATCAGCAGTTAGAGCAGTCTTGTGATTTCTATCAGTGTCCAGCAGAGCACTGGTTAAAGCCTGTAGGAGGAGTTTTCTTTCTGCTTTAGGAGGATGTGAAACCTCTAACCCTCTGTCTGGACAGTGTTGATTGGCCCTGTGCTGATCACATGCACCCTCTTAAGAAAAAAAAAAAAAACCTCTCTAGCAATACACACCAAACTGAGCATGTCCATGTGACCACGGGTTCAGTCTGTATCAGGTGGTCATATCAACATGAGAAGGGCAAAGAAGAAAGGATCAAACAGCCTTTTTACACAATGCAGAGGATTAACCCCTTAGGTTCCACAGTGAGTATAACAAGCATGCTTTACTGTATATACAGACTGATTTTATTGTTGTGGGTTTAGTAACACTGTAACTCCACCCCCATAGTCAGCCACAACCAGCCCCTTAATAAAGAGTCCTTATAAGGGGTCCTTATAGTAATGCAAAGTTCAGTGGTCAGCAGTAGGTAACACACAGTGCTGGGGGTCAGAAGTAAGTAATGCAGACTTTAGTTGTATGTAATACAGAGTGCAAGGGTCAGGAGGAAGTAACGCTGTTCAAGGAACAGTAATACGTACTGAGGAGTTCAGATGTCAGTAGTAAGTAACACACAGTGCATAGGCCAGGAGTAATGCAGAGTGCAGAGGGTCAATAAATTGCAATTCCCAGTGCAAAGATCAGGAGTAAGGTAGAGTTCAGGGGTTAGCAGTATGTAACACAGAGTGCAGAGGTACACATATATCTGCATTATAGGCATCATAAAACTGCCAATTCCTCTGCCAGCCCAGAACCAAGGACCTGTCATTACAGCCAGCACCCTTGTACAGCTTGCTGCCACCCTAACACCAAGGCCCCCCTTCCCCCTCCCCCAGCTGCCCTTTCATTTACTTCCAGCACTTCCTTTGCCCATTCTCCAACGCATGAATCCACGTGTGAGCTACTTGCTCTTTCCAGCATTGCCTATCCAAGTCTCACTGGTTGGAGGCACACATCAGGTATCTTTATCCCCATGTTCCCATTACACAGATACAATATAGGACCCCCTATTCCCTGAAGCTTCCTGGAGTCCAGTTTCTTTGCAACCAGGTAACAATCCCTTCCACAGGACAGACTGACTCTTGGGCCCCCCTGCTGACCCGATAGGGCTCAGGCCCAGTACAGGAGCGCTAGTTGTACTGGCCCTGCTCCTAGATCCTGGGGCCCATTAGCAGCAGGGGCCCAGGACTTCAGAAGCACTGGTGCAGTTCTGTGACAATGTCCCTTTTAGCCACTGGTCCTCCAAGCACCCATGTAGATTGACTGGCTTAGCCTTGTTCTCATGTCACTGATCAACTGTTGTTTTAAAGGATTTTCCTTCTGTTAAAAATGCTTATCGGATCAGAATAAAATCCTGTCTAGGCACTAGGTGGCAGCACTGTATGAGAAATAATTTCACTCTGCCCTGATTTCAGCAAAAAAAGAATATGTGCCTAGTCATACTCATGTGGACACAGAATCGTAGAAGGGTGACAACAGGAAAAAACCACGTGCCCCATTTGTTTGTGTTTCCTTTTTCTTTATGTTTCATCTGGGTATAGATATATGTTTGCCCCAAGAATTTCTCATATTCACTTACTGTTGACTAACTCACTACCAGTGCTGGAAGTCTGTTCCAAGCATCCAATAATACTTTCTAAGGTAAGATTTCTTGCATTAAAACTTTCTTGTGCACACTGCTCTAAATTGAAACATATTGGAGTCTGGAGTAATCTGTACTTCTATTTAAGAAATACAGGTGTGTTCAAAATAATAGCAGTCAGACATCACTAACCTGATCAATCACTGTTTTTGGTAGAAATGATATTTCTACATGGCAAATAATTTACTAGCAGGTGTAGTAGAGTAATAGAAATCCAACGGACCCAACAGTCATGACATGCATGCTGCTGATTCTGTGTAATTGAATCACTAATTGAAAGGGACATGTTCAAAATAATAGCAGTGTGGAGTTCTATTAGTGAGGTCATTCATTCTTTGAAAAACAGGTGGCAATTATTGCCCTTATTTAATGAAGGAAGGCAGCAAATGTTGTACATGCTGGTTACAGTGCATTTCTCTCTGAAATTCTGAGGAAAATGGGTCGTTCCAGACATTGTTCAGAAGAACAGCGTACCTTGATTAAAAAGTTATTTGGAGAGGGGAAAACATAAAAAGAAGTGTAGAAAATGATAGGCTGCTCAGCTAAAATGATCGCAAATGCTTTAAAATGGCAACCAAAACCTGAAAGACGTGGAAGAAAGTGAAAAACTACCATTCGAATGGATAGAAGAATAGCCAAAATGGCAAGGACTCAGCCAACAATCAGCTCCAGGAAGATCAAAGAAGGTCTAAAGCAGGGGCGGACTGACAACTCATGGGGCCCCTGGGAAATAGGGGATGATGGGGCCCCTGTGTCCTTGCCCAAACTCAAAAAAGCCTATGAAAAAGGTACCAGGGGCATCTCATGGGGCCCCCTACTGACCCCGGGCCCTCGGGCAGTGCCCGAGTTGCTAAATGGTCAGTCCGCCCCTGGTCTAAAGTTACCTGTGAGTGCTGTTACAATTAGAAGACGCCTATGTGAAGACAAGCTATCTGCAAGAAGCCCCCGCAAAGTCCCACTGTTGAAAAAAAGACGTGCTGAAGAGGTTACAATTTGCCAAAGAGCACATTGACTGGCCTAAAGAGAAATGGCGCAACATTTTGTGGACTGATGAAAGTAAGATTGTTCTTTTTGGGTCTAGTGGCCGGAGACAGTTTGTCAGACGACCCCCAAACACTGAATTCAAGCCACAGTACACTGTGAAGACAGTGAAGCATGGTTGCGCAAGCATCATGATATGGGGATGTTTCTCATACTACGGTGTTGGGCCTATTTATCGCATACCAGGGATCATGGATCAGTTTGAATACATCAGAATACTTGAAGAGGTCATGCTGCCTTATGCTGAAGAGGAAATGCTCTTGAAATGGGTGTTCCAACAGGACAACGACCCCAAACACACCAGTAAACGTGCAACATCTTGGTTCCAGACCAACAAGATTGACGTTATGGAGTGGCCAGCCCAATTCCCGGATCTTAATCCAATAGAAAACTTGTGGGGTGACATCAAAAATGCAGTTTCTGAGGCAAAATCAAGAAATAGAGAAGAACTGTGGAATGTAGTCCAATCATCCTGGGCTGGAATACCTGTTCACAGGTGCCAGAAGTTGGTTGACTCCATGCAACACAGATGTACAGCAGTTCTCAGAAACAGTGCTTATACAACTAAATATTAATTCAGTGATTCAAAGGAAAGCAAAATCTTCAAACATTTTTCAGTTTATATAGTGAATGTTTGAGTTTGTAAAGAAGAATACAAACACTGCTACTTTTTTTGAACAGTCTAATATTCACTTTTCTGCAATTTCTTTAGAGGAACAACACAAATTTGATATATTTTTCTTCATGTTTTGATTTGGAATAGAATGTGTAGTGTTCCCAATGCATTTGTTTGTATGGAAATAAAGGCTATTAGAAGGATTTTGAGCTTTATTCACTTTTTTCAACACACCGCTATTATTTTGAACACAACTGTATGTGCATAGCCATTCATACAGCAAATCTGTATATGTATGTGTTCAATGCAAATTGCAAAAACAAATGTTCTTTAAATGTTCTTTAGGCTTTTTGATGACTGCTGTTTTATTATGAACAGTAGTAAAATATTACATTATGACTAAACTGAGCTGAGGAGCATAGGAAATACAGTATGTCTTTGTAACAAGAGATACAATGTAACAATTCTAGAGAACACTAAAGGGAATTAGCAAATAAATGGAACCATTGGTTGCCCAATTTGCACAGAACAAATGTACATGCAAAGTCACTGGACAAATGGTTATGGTTTTTGTTTTGTTTTATTTTTTTTAATGAAAGATTGCTTAGTGTTAAACTGGTGGGTCAGATTTGGCCCATGTTTTTTCTTTTGGTGCAGTTTAGGATCCCAGAGCAAGAGAGGTAGGTTTGCAAGTAATAAGGTTTACAGAAAGGCTGCAGGTGTTAGAATTACATGGTGGGTTAGAGGGTGAGTTAGTGTTAGGGTTACGGGGAGGGATAGTGTTAGGGTTACAGGGAGGGATAGTGTTGTGGTTGGTGTTAGGGTTACAGGGAGGGGTAGTGTTGGGTTAGTGTTAGGGTTACAGGGGGAGGGGTAGCGTAGGGGTTAGTGTTAGGGTTACAGGGAGGTGTAGTGTTGGGGTTAGTGTTAGGGTTACAGGGAGGGGTAGTGTTGTGGTTAGTGTTAGGGTTACAGGGAGGGGTAGTGTTGGGGTTAGTGTTAGGGCTACAGGGAGGGGTAGTGTCGGGGTTAGTGTTAGGGCTACAGGGAGGGGTAGCGTTGTGGTTAGTGTTAGGGTTACAGGGAGGGATAGTGTTGGGTTTAGTGTTAGCATTACGGGGAGGGATAGTGTTGGGGTTAGTGTTAGGTCTACAGGGAGGGCTAGTGTTGTGGTTAGTGTTAGAGTTACAGGGAGGGATAGTGTTGGGGTTAGTGATAGGGTTATGGGGAGGGGTAGTGTTAGGGCTACAGGAAGGGGTAGTGTTAGGGTTACAGGGAGGGGTAGTGTTAGGGTTAGTGTTAGGGCTACAGGGAGGGGTAGTGTTGGGGTTAGTGTTAGAGTTACAGGGAGGGATAGTGTTGGGGATAGTGTTAGGATTACATGGAGGGATAGTGTTAGTGTTAGGGTTACAGGGAGGGCTAGTGTTGTGGTTAGTGTTAGAGTTACAGGGAGGATAGTGTTGGGGATAGTGTTAGGATTACAGGGAGGAATAGTGTTAGGGCTACAGGGAGGGGTAGTGTTGGGGTTAGTGTTAGGGTCACAGGGAGGGGTAGTGTTAGGGTTACTGTTACAGGGAGGGGTAGTGTTAGGGTTAGTGTTACAGGGAGGGGTAGTGTTACAGGGAGGGGTAGTGTTAGGGTTAGTGTTACAGGGAGGGGTAGTGTTGGGGTTAGTGTTAGGGTTACAGGGAGGAATAGTGTTAGGGTTAGTGTTACAGGGAGGGGTCGTGTTAGTGTTAGGGTTACAGGGAGGGGTAGTGTTAGGGTTACAGGGAAGGGTAGTGTTAGGGTTACAGGGAAGGGTAGTGTTGGGGTTAGTGTTATGGTTACAGGGAGGGGTAGTGTTTGGGTTAGTGTTAGGGTTACAGAGAGGGGTAGTGTTGGGCTTAGTGTTAGGGTTACAGGGAGGGGTAGTGTTTTGGTTAGTGCTAGGGTTACAGGGAGGGGTAGTGGTTGGGTTAGTGTTAGGGATACAGGGAGGGGTAGTGTTGGGGTTAGTGTTAGGGTTACAGGGAGGGTTAGTGTTAGGGTTACAGGAAGGGGTAGTGTTTAGGTTAGTGTTAGGGATACAAGGAGGGGTAGTGTTGGGGTTAGTGTTAGGGTTACAGGGAGGGTTAGTGTTAGGGTTACAGGGAGTGGTAGTGTTAGGGTTAGTGTTAGGGTTACAGGGAGGTGTAGTGTTGGGGTTAGCGTTAGGGTTACAGGGAGGGGTAGTGTTAGGGTTAGTGTTAGGGTTACAGGGAGGGGTAGTGTTAGGGTTAGTGTTAGGGTTACAGGGAGGGGTGTGAGGTTACTCAATGTCATCTTCCTAGTCTGGCTAGTCAGAGAATGACTCCATTACAAGTAAGTGGCTGGTTAACAATCCTGTTGCTGGCAAATTGTCACCAGCAACAGGATGGCTCTTGTGACATTAGTGTAAGGATTAGATGAAGGGTGAGTGTGGGAGTTAGAGGGTAGCTAAGCGTGAGGGGTAATATCAAGGTTATATGGAGGGTGAGTGTGGGGGTTACAGGGCTACAGAGCAGGTTAGTGTAACAGGGTGGGTCATTAAGGGTTGGGGTTACAATAACAGTTAGTGTGAGGGTTAATGTTAGGGTAACAGGGACGATGTGAGAGTTGATGTTAAGGGGTTAGTGTGAAAACGAATCTAGAATATTTTTGCAGTGCAGACTTGCAATCTGGCCCTAAGCCATCTGTTGCAGAGGACACATTTAGCAAACATGCTTTGTTATTTGTCTGTTACTTTATTTGGAAGCTCACAATAAAGCTCCTTGTCCCCATTGGTAATTTTGCAATCCGCAGAGGGAGATTTGTCACACACAGCTCACCTGCAGGTTTCAGGCTTACCTCATCAGTGACTTTCCATATTTCTTCATCGTTGTATTTTCCATAAGGGTCCAGATTTTTTCTGAATGTCCCTGAGAATATGAACACTTTCTGTGTGGGAACAAACATAAATACAATAAAATTTCCAGCAATGCATTTTACAAAATGCTATCAAAAATATGAACAGGTATACAGGAGAGTAGGTAGAACAACACACTTTACTTCCTTATACAGCTGGTGTAAGTTTGAGCCAACATTTCATACAATAAACCGGACCTGTTTCCTCCTCAGCCTGAAAGAAAGTAATTGTTAAGTGCCCAGATATAAATGGCATCCATTTATAAATTCATGGTCTTGCATAACTCTTTTTTTTTTAAATAAGAGTCTTTCAGATGAATATTTATCATTATAAAGATATCCAGCTTTCAGCCACTTACAGTGGCAACTTAACATGATCTCAGTCTTAGCTAATATAGTGTCTGAAACAAAGCAACATTTTACTAGCATAAACATACACTATATTGTCAAAAGTATTGGGACATCCCTCCAGATCATTAGATTCAGGTGTCCCAATCCCCTCCATGGCCACAAGTGTATAAAATCAAGCATTTTGGCATGCAGACTGCTTCTACAAACATTTGTGAAATAATGGGTCGCTCTCAGGAGCTCAGTGAATTCAAGCATGGTACCGTGACGGTTGCCACCTGTGCAATAAGTCCATCCATGAAATTTCCTTGCTACTAAATATTCCACGGGGAACTGTTAGTGGTATTATAACAAGTGGAAGTATATAAGTGGAAGCAACTGGGAACAACAGCAACTCAGCCACGAAGTGGTAGGCCACGTAAAATGACAGAGCGGGGTCAGCGCATGCACAAGCACACAGTGCACAGAAGTCAACAACTGTCTGCAGAGTCAATAGCTAAAAGACTCCAAACTTCATGTGGCCTTCAGATTAGCACAACAACAGTGTGTACAGATCTTCATGGAATGGGTTTCCATGGCTGAGCAGCTGCATCCAAGCCTTACATCACCAAGTGCAATGCAAAGCATTGGATGCAGTGGTGTAAAGAAAGCTACCCTGAACTCTAGAGCAGTGGAGATGTGTTCTCTGGAGTGACAACTCACGATTCTCTGTCTGGCAATCCGATGGATATGTGTGGGTTTGGCGGTTGCCAGGAGAACAGTACTTGCCTGACTGCATTGTGCCAAATGTAAAGTTTGGTGGAGGGGGATTATGGTGTGGGGTAATTTTTCAGGAGTTGGGCTTGGCCCCTTGGTTCCAGTGAAGGGAACTCTTAAGACGTCAGCATACCAAGACATTTTGCACAATTTCATGCTCCCAACTTTGTGGGAACAGTTTGGGGATGGTCCCTTCTTGTTCCAACATGACTGCACACCAGTGCACAAAGCAAGGTCCATGAAGACATGGATGAGCGAGTTTGGAGTGGAGGAACTTGACTGGCCTGCATAGAGTCCTGACCTCAACCCAAAAGAACACCTTTGAGATGAATTAGAGTGGAGACTGTGAGCCAGGCCTTCTCGTCTGACATCAGTGCCTGACTTTACAAATGTGCTTCTGAAAGAATGGTCAAACATTCCCATAGACACACTTCTAAACCTTGTGGACAGCCTTCCCAGAAGAGCTGAAGCTGTTATAGCTCCAAAGGGTGGGCCAACATATATATAAAGCGCTGAGCAAACTGTTGGTGCTGTATAAATCCTGTATAATAATAATAATAACTCAATATTAAACCCTACGGTCTAAGACAGGGATACCATTAAAGTTCATTTGCGTGTAAAGGCAGGTGTCCCAATACTTTTGGCAATATAGTGTATGTATATACTGTATATGGAGAATAAACTCTGATGTACATTAATTCACTCCCTAGTTCTTTATTGGAGGTATCCTATCTATACCATATATTAAAGCGGTAGTAAACTCTTCTTTTTAACTTGTACCCACAGGTATGCCTATTATAAAGCTTACCTGCAGGTACAGTGAATGTCTCCTAAACTTGTGGTGTTTAGGAGATATTCACACTGGAAGCAGCCAGTGACATCCCCAGCACATATGCATTGGGCTCTAAATTGATAAATGCTGATTGAATGAAAGCTGTCAATTCACAGTGCTGTACTGCGACAATGAATCCCGTGTGCCTGCAAAGGAGTGACGTCATCACTGCCCCGGTCATTCAAAAGGCCTGGAGCCTGCGGACACAAAAGACTTGGTGAAGATGGAAGCTCTGTCAGCGGTGACAGATCACCACTGGAGGGCTTAATTTTAAGGTAATTTTGCCATAATGTGCTTGTAGGCAAGTGTAGTCTCTTTTCTCCACTGTAGGTGGCACTCAAACTACAGCAGCATTGCAGAGAGAGAGGAAGTCAGGGGAACTTAGCCCTCTATGGTTTCCTGCGTCACTGGGAAGCGATCCGGTTGGATGGCACTGTCCCATGTGACTCTGGCGGTCATCTTGAGTCAGGCAAAGTCTATTTATTACCCTGGCTCCCCAGGCTTGAAACACATTTTTTGAACGGCATAGAGACAGGTTTCCCACGTCTTTCAGGGAAAGTGAACAGCGGTATGGAAAGGTTACAGACAAGTAGGGACAGGATAGGGGCTTGCTATCCTTCTTAGGAATTCTCCCCATTGGGCTTAGATTGGCCAAGCTGCATTCTACCCTTGGAGACATACGCTGTTGGTGCATCAGAACCTGCTCCATTCTACATAATTGCACAGAACTGTGAATGTTCCCAGCTGGGTGCACTTCCCGGTGGGCTGTTTGTATCTTTGAGCAATTCTTTCAAAAAAAGGGTGTTCATTGTCGCCACACCACCACCCACATGATAGTATGTAAAGCATACTAGCACATTATGGCTTAAACCTCCTGGGGGGTCCACATTTTTTTTCCTTCAAGGAGCTAACTACCACTTTAAAGTGCAATTCCTGCTAAAGCCTAACTAGTCTTAAAAATGCACCGTCCCTCCTCCTAACACCTGTACTAACCTGCAAAAAAAAAAAAAAGATGTAGATACCTATTTTCATCCTGCTATGGTCCGGGTATGTGATCTGGTTCCTCTGTGTCAGCCAACGGAAGCTGCAGGGGAGAGAAAGGAGCACTGACAACAGTTTCACCATGACAGCCTATAGATGACGACATTGCTCTTGGCTTGAACAGTTGTTGTCAGGCAATCTCTCTATGTTGGGCAATCTTCCCCTGAAGTTGCCACTGGCTGACACAGGAAATCACATGACTGAGCCAGAGTAGGCTGAAAATAGGTAGGTATATACATTGTTTAGTTAGTATAGACCAGGTGTCTCCAAACTATGGCCCTCCAGGTGTTGAGGAACTGCAAGTCCCATGAGGCCTTGCAAGACTCTGACATCCACAGGTGAAACCCCCTGTGGCAGAGGCATGATGCAACTTGTAGTACTTCAACAGAGGGCCATGTTTGGAGACCCCTGGTATAGACGTTAGGATAGGGAAGGAAGACTAGTTATTATTATTCAGGATTTATAGCGCCAGCAGGTTTTTTTTATGAATAGACTCCTTAGTGTTCAACTGCTGGGTCAGATTTCACCAATGGTGTTTTTAAATTATCAGATTCCAATTTCAACACCTTGGTATTGGTATGCCCTGGACATAATGAGCACTTAACAATGTGGGGGGACCTCATTGCAAGGGTATTTTTTCTTACAATCCCAGAGTTCTTTTTTAACTAAACTTAACTGTTAAAGTATATGTAAACCCTCTCCTTGTAAAACAACCCATCCAGGTCAAAATAAACAAGAAACGCAAAAACATTTGTGTCATGATGTAAAAAAACATTGTAAATATACATTTTCCCTTTTTTATAAGTGATCACATAATCTTTGTCTTCAGCTGCATAAGAGCTAGGGGAGGAGAAACTGCCAAACACTGATCTTCCCAGTTAATGGCTATCCAGGGAAGTCTGATCAATGGAGGAGAGCACACAGAGTTCCCAGCATAGCTAGAGATCTGACTATGGTGTGTTTTTTCCTGTTTAGTGTGGTTAGTTTTTAATAGGAAATCAGAGGGACTGACAGGAACACCAGGGATCTCACACAAAGGAAGCAATACATAGAGAAAAGGAGACGTTTTCATACAAGTGCATGGTACAGCAGACACATATCAGAAATATGAAAGGTTGGGTTTACATATTCCTTAAGTCCACCTTAAAAAGGAACTTCACTCTGTCAGCATTGATTATGTGTAATCCTTATGCTGCTAGCATTAGTAAATAGGAAAGTATATCATATTTACTTGTTTCAAACTTTTTTACATTTCTTCAGTTAACTCTTGGTTTCCAGGCCTAGCCAGGAGTCTTCACAAAGAGAGGAGGGGAGGAGGAACTTTCCCTGCTAAGCACACCCCCCTGCCTGCATGCCTGAGCTAAGGGCAGATGGATTCCAGGAAGTAAATGCTACATGAATCATCTGCCCTTACTCAAGATGGCAGCTGCCAGGGGTTGCTTTTCAAAGTGATTTCTTAACAGAATAACGCATGGAGACCTAGATGGATGGGTGAGTTGATTTGAATTTTAAAAATGCATTTAAGAGCATCTTTGGTTTGTGGCAAATGGAAGTAGTGTAGTTCTGCTTTAATGTCATAATACAGTTTTGTATGGAAGCCAAGAGGTATATTCACATAACCTTTTATCAGCTTTGTAAGAGATATCTCCTCCAAGAGATCCAAGTTCCACCCCAGATAAAGAATTGTCTAATTGAATAACAGGCACCTATCTCCTGTCAGATTTTCCCTGAATAAATAAATAAATATATATATATATAATATATATATATATATATATATATATATAGTTTATACTTGTATAAGAATTTTGTTCTGCCACCTGTAACATACCTGTAATAGAATTGTACTTATCACTTAACCTCATGTCCCAATAAAATCAGGATTTTATACATGTCATAGAGTTCCTGAGTGATCACTAATATTTTATTTTGGTGTACAGAGGCCCTTCCACTGAGTACTCTACTCTTTACAGTTTACTTCTGCTTTACGGAGTAGTCACAAAGTTCCACAACTATATTTAAGCAGGCTTCCATTAATGCAGACCATGGAACTCCT